ATTTTTTAATTACACTCGTACCCGTGCATGGAGTGAAAAGATAGTCTGTACCCACAGCTGTTAGACTGTCAATCAGACAGGTACTGGCACTATTCATGATATATTGGTTTTATTAATTTGAAATCAGTATTTCAATTTCTAAATATGACTGTTATTGGTGTTTCATGATATCCGTCACAGACATGCAATTTTTAAAAACTTTTTTCCTGAGCTAACTAGCATACTGTTAAATTTCTCCATATGAGAGGAAAAACTATTTTCCATCTGTATTCAGCTCAATTCTGTAATTTACTGTTACATCCACTAGACAAGCATAAGGACTACAATTCTGTGGTTCTGGTTCCTGCCTTAGCAACATCTGCAAACCATAAGTAACAACAAATGAACCAATTTCCCGAGACAATAATGAAGCCAGAAATTAAACTGCTGCCATACTTGCTGAATGGCCACAACAAGGGAAGGTAGGAGAAGAGCATGTTTAAAAGTCGTGTTTTCAAATATTAAGTAAAAGTACATTATGTCATTATGCAAAATGTATCGTTTCAGAACAGTAACTGATATGTATATATAAATGTTACTGATGTTGATGAATACAGCTAAAGGTGGAGGTATTTTCAACAAGTTTGCTCTGTAGTTTATCTATGATAAGATCAGATGATTTATGAATCATATTTCTCATGAACAGTCTGAATCCACAAAGTAACTGGTACCTGACAAAAACCTACAGTTGTATAAAAAGGGCCTTGAGAGTGTATTGGAGTAAAATTCTGAAGTGATATTAAATGGAAGTATTTCAATGAATGTACTTTCCATGACTGCATACAACCAGTGCCATGATTTGTTCTGAAGGTTCATCTATCACACATAGTATTATCAGCTTACCATAAGTTCACAAAAATGTGAGGTTCTGATGCCTTGTTGGTGTCGACAGCATCACACTAACAGGCCTGCGGAGACCGCTACAGTAATTGTTTACTTCTTAGGCTACTAACTGGCCCACGGGCTGACACGATTGTGAAAAAAGGATGAGTAACCATAGAGATATTCTTGCCTGTTTTCCCAAATGGAAATATGGCTTTTGAATCCCAAGATAATTTAACTCGATATATGTGTGGAGAGTTGCAAGCAGTGGCACATCTTTATGACTAGGCTCATTACTGAGGCTCACGCTTGTGTACATCATTAACCTTGGGTGGCTCAGACACAGTCATTATGCAGCCAAACAAGCTGCACCCCAGAGCTAGTGCTGCCCTTCTCACTTCACAAGGCATGACACTGCTGGGGCCCCAGTCCCATACTTCTGCCTCAGCACGCAGAGGAACAATTTTCCTCCGTTCACTATACCCCTCTTTCTCCACACAGCTATAATCTCCCACTTCTCTCTGTATACCCTAATTCAATGTCACCGCTGTCAGAAAATCAGCGTCTCCTCTTCTTGTTTATTCCCATGATGCACTTCTGTCTGTGGGTCTTTTTTTTTTTTTTTTTTAAACTTTTGTCCAACCTCTTTACACCCTATTTTTACATGCAGGTTCCTGTCTGGGTGCAATGGGGCTTAAGTGGAACGGTTGCATTGTGTAATAGCAGATTCAGAAAACTGCTGCAGATAATGACAGGGAGTAATAGGGGGCTCTTACTCAGCCTTTCGCAGCCCGGGGCACTCTCTGCTCCACACCTGTCTATGTTGCCGTAATATGGAGCTCTCCTTGGTTGCCTTGGCTGCACAGCGAGTCTTCTGAACCTATAAGACAAGGTTTAATGCACAGCAGGAACAAACTGTTTCCCTTGAACCGCAATGTGCACCGAAAAAAAAACAAAAAAAAAACATATCGCTGGAGTGTTTGCTTTTAAATGCACTTTAGCCATTACATTTATTTTCCTCCGACAATTACCTTTATCTGGACAAGCCTTTATCTGCAGTGCTTTAATGCATCAATTATCCGGACCATTTTGTAACTTTGGAAAGGCATTACAACAATAAAGTTTATAATGTTGCAAGGATGGTGGAACATGAAATAGGCATTCTCCTGATAGCTGAAAGTAAGTTGTCCCGTTTTTCCTTGCACATCAGCGATATTTTTTCTGCAGGCAATTGCCTCGGTCTTTATAAGCATTATTGCGTGTGAGAGAGGTAATTTAGCTGAAACAGTGTCACTGTCAAAGCATGAAAGCAAAGTAAACAGCGGAAAATTTATATAATCAAGTAGGAACATGCACGGCACGCATGAGACATGTTATTAGGAGGGGAAGGTGGAGCTACGTCTTAATCTACCGTCATTTGTTTACCTTTTTAATAATAGCCTTCCTTTAGAGTGCTCTCGCTGCAGCGACTCATTGTCTTATATCAGTGTTTTCATACACAAGCCAGTGGCTCAGATAATTGCACAAAACACAATATCACACAACTAACACATGCGTGCAATCTATTTCAGATGAGCTGAAAATCGGAGTAGGTTAGGGTGTTAATTCATGTTGCGACTGTTTGTCTGTCTGTCAAGCAGCTGCTGCTGTTTTTGCAGAAGAAGTTTAAATTTATTGTTCTGGACATTTCCCCTCAGGGTGACGTCCATTTTATATTAACTGGAATCTACAGCACTCAATCTGGAACTAGTGCTGCGCAGAAAGAAAAAGGTCAAATTGATGCCGCTCCATGCCTCTTCCAGGCAAAGTATTGCAGGTAATCTTAATTTGCGCTCGGTGTCTAACAGCTCACTTAGACTACATAAACTGTGCCTACAGCGAAATTTGCATCAACTAATTTCTCGTCTCACCGTGCCAATTCATTAATTGCCACCTTTATCAGTGTTATTTTACCCATTAAATCAGTCTGGTTCCTATATTCAGATATTATCAAGAAAAAAAAAGACATTTCAAACACTTGAATGAGCACAATTTGATATTATTAGTATCGAACTGACTTGAAGAGTATCTATCCTATGCTGTCGCTCGGATATCTTTGGCGCTCTGCATTGTACATTTTTATGCATTAAACACCATTTTCTATCTCATCTTATATCTCATCTCTTAATCCAGCTCTTGCAGATGTACTGTATGATTTTTCATGCCTTTTAGATTTCTCTTATCAGTCAATCACAATTTTAACACTGATAAACAAAATGTGTGGTATCATCATATCACTTCAGGCCTCCCAAACTGAGAATGTGGAAATTAACAAATATTTGAAAATCTGGCTTCACTACATACTTTCTTGTGTGACCCACATGGAAGACCTGAGCTGGAAGGCAAAAATAAATTCTTACAGCAACAAATGATGGTGCTTCTCTGCTAGTCAGAAGACTATAAAGCTGTCAAAAATCATCTGTGTTTCTGAATGCATGGCCTTTCTCACATTGTATGTGCTTTGTTTACATTTCTCACTCGCCAATGGGCTTTTTCACAAAAGACACCTTGACTTATCAGAGTAGGAAAGTAAGGGTGTTACTAATAATATAAAAGAGTTCTGTTCTAATATTCCCTTTTTCACTCCTTCCTCCATACAAGACATTTGTTACTCTATGTGACCAGTGAACTGGGCTGCCATAGATACTATAATGATAAGATTTCCCATCATCACTGACAGGAATAACGTCCTCCAACCTACAGGGACTAATGAAAAGATGGTATGGTCCTCTTTTTAGAGAATATGGAGAAGGATATTATACTGTACAATATTTATGTTTGCATATTTATGTTTTTCTGGCTGAAATCTAGGATTTTTGCTCAGGTTAAAGATAAGCGGAGCGATATTGGCGTTACCTCAGGACACCACGCTGTACAAACCAGTAAGAATAGACCAGTGATACTCGGGGCCCTTGGGCGAAATAAGGCGCATGATAGCATTTTCTAATTCATAATGTGAATATATTGATTCAAACTGCAATACTTTTTTGTTTGTTTAAATGTTCAATAATGTCCCTCGGCTGTTACTCAGTTAATTGAAAATAAATAATTTCAAAGGTAGATGAGTTATGGGGCTTTTAATGTTCATTCATTTTATCTGATAAATATAATTGCTTGTGTACTAACTGGCCCCTGGCCTCCTGTCATTTTTACAAAAGTGGCCCCCAGGCAAAACAAGTTTAGTATCCCTGGCATAGACCTTTTTTTACTGCAGACAGTTTGACTTGCGACTGTAGGGAAAGCACGGGAGGAATTAATGATGGCTCGGTTCCATTAAGTGTCCCAGTAAGCCATGACAATTAAACACAAAAGCAGGACCTCCCCTAACTGGAAAGCAGCTGTCATGGGTATTCTAAAGGCTGTGTTTAAAATGGCAATTGTTGTGTGATGGGGTATGTTTGAATTGTGCTTGTTTGTCTTTTGCTGTTTTATGTGTTTTTTGAAAAGAAATGTAGAAATAATCTCTGAGTGTAGGCATGTGGTTAAGGATCGGTACCCTTGCAATTATGCAGTGAGGAGACTCCCACAGGACTGTGGTGTTTCAATTATGCACTTTCTTATTTTTTAATAAAGTGAAGATTCTCTCGACGAAAAACAAAAACAATAAAATAGGTGAATGTGTAGATTCACTGGGGAAAGAATGTGGCAATATTGTGCTCATTCACTGGCTGTCTAATTTGATTTAAAACAGTATTAAATAAAAAGTATGCCTTTTTAGCACACTTTTTTTCATGTCCACACACACACACACACATATATATATATATATGGATAGTGTGGTACAGTGTATACAGTGTAGTACAGTACGGCTAAGGGTTTAGTATCTATAGGCAGCCAGTCCCTGCCTAGAAAGCATAAATGATCCCATGCTTGAGGCTACTCATGGTCATTTATTTACCCTCTATCACATCAACAATGGGAGATGTTCAAAAAGCCTGCCTTTCAGCAGGGCGACCGAACGTGAACAGAGCCTGTCTTATCTAGGTTATACAGAGAGCAGGGTTGGAGGGAGCCACGGGCAAACATAATGATGCTAAAAGGCTTCTGACACAGTTTACCAATTAAAACAACACAGGTCTAACAGCTTAATCTCCATTGCCCCTAGCATTAACTTTTTGCTCTGCTCAGTCATATGACTATGAACTTCAAACAGTGTTATAGAAAACCACAAGCAGCCTAATGAATATTCATGGCAATGTTGTTCTGTATGGCAGTGATATTACTGCTCTGTTTCATGTTGTTGGACAAACTACAAACATTACGCAATGCTTGTTTTATGCAGGATGAAATCCCTTTATACTGTGTGGCATGTATGAAAGAGGAGGAAAAAGGTAGACAACACAGAAACAAATTGCAGTATTTTGTGTTACTGGACACATGCTGTTTTATCAGCTCACATCAAACTCAGGTTTTTGTCAGTTCACATTCTTCCTGCAGAAGGTAATGAGTATTGTTGTTGCACATTATTCTTTATTTGCTGCTTAATCACCATGCTATTAAATGTAGCAGGTTTTGATGTGAGAGTAACATTGCTGTTTTAAGTACAAAGATGATACCGATAATTTACCTTTTGTCCAATTAGATCAGACTCCAGGCGTTTGGCATCAACAATGGCTTGCAGTCCTTTATAGTCTGCCGGTTTGTACTTTGAGCTGCCAAGACCATTTTTCATTCGCAGTGTCAGTTTTTCTGCATGGATGAAAGCAAATGATATTGCCGAATTAGGATCATTGGACTTCCTCGAAAATCTCATCACTTTTCATGTCTGAAGCAAAGTCTTTATGCTGACTTCAGCAAAGAAAAAAACAGAGGTAAAGACAGAGGAACAGCACCAGCTGAGCACTAATGGATTGTATGCGTAATTGAGAAATTATTGCACAGGAGGAGGGGGTAGCAGAAAGCAAACTAACTGTGTCATACAGGTTTTTTTTAGTAGTTCAGCTGTGACTTAAAGAGGCAGGTGGATAAACACAAGCAACGCTACCTCTGACTAAAACGTCAAAGACTTGACAGCGCCTAGAGAATTCAACATGTGTGCTCCAGGTCAAACCTGTTCAACAGTTCAGTGGGCCACTATGTCACAAGTTAGCGATGCTTCAGGCCAATTTTCAACTCTTACCTACATCCTCAGCTCTGTAGGTTGTTATGAAGGTTTGCACATCCCTTCCACTCATTGCTGTGCTGCTCTTTTTCCAAGCAACCTTCAAAAACCTTTAAAATAAAGAAAAGAATCACTGCACGTCAGAAATACAGAGGCTGTAGAAAGCTTTAAAAAGACATTTCACCTGCACAGGCAGGTACATGGTTCTAGTGGGGGGTATGCCCAAAAAAACAGTAAGGCCCATCAAAAAGCAAACTTTGACATCAAGGTCTGTGTGACATTGCTGAAAAATATCAGTCAGCTCTGACTAAGTTTTAGTATTTGGAGGGGACAGATGGTGCACCCAGTGTGAGGCATGCTGCTGGAACATCTCTGTGTCTTTGTTTTGGATTAAGCTTGGAAAAATTCTGGCCACATAGGGTTTGTGTCAGGTGAGATGTACAGTGTGTGAGAAGCTTTTGGGAAGGAAGGAACAGGTTTATAAGTGAAAGGAAAAAGGGAGCATCAGTTTTCCTTTATATAAGTGAAAGGAAAATTGATGCTCTGTTTTGCGCACCCTAAGCATTTTTTTGTCTCCAGTACACATGAATGCTCATTTCCTGGACAGCAAGATTAATATTTTTCATATATTAATGTCAGTTGGTGCTTCAGGAGCTAACTAAGGAGAGTCACGTTCTTTTCTGACATTTCTGTAGGTTTATGTGTAGGTTCTTCCTCAGTATGACAAGTGAACTGTAATAGGGCAGCAACTATGACAATTATCAATCAAGTATTTCATGTTATATAAAAAAAACCACACATGTTAAGAGTCTAACTTGAACTTTATTGATATTCAGATGTAGTAAAGTGCTTGACTTGTGAATATGGCCAGGCAATATTTAATATTTAATTTTCACAGAATGACTGCCCATACGTGAGAATGACATGCAACATTACACTTTTGAATACACAGCAAGCTTAGCCATATTTACAAGTCAAGCACTTTACTACCTTTGAACAGCAATTAAAATTCCAGTTGAAATTCAACACAGGCACGAATGAAGAACAAAATAATACTTGTTGTAGTCCTATTACAGTTAACCGATAGAAATGAGGCTGAACTTGTGCATACACCTCCGAAAGATGTCACAAACATATTGAAGAGTAAAAGAAAACCACCAAAAACAGTTAACAATATGGGTAATATTTACAGAGCTTCATAACACAACTAAACACAAATAAACTCGACGAATGTTTGCTTTGTAAAAAAAAAAAAACAAATAAACATTTAGCCACCTAGCTTACCTTGTGCTATCCGCTCTCTCTGCACAGTGTACGGGTTGACAAAATTGGTAACCAAGGTAACTATCATCTCCTCTGTCATTGGTCAATTCAACAGCGGGCGCCTCCCCGGCAACGCCCCCTGCTCCCGTCTCAGCCAATCAGGAGTGCGCATGGGTTTCCCACATTCCCACTGACGTCATGCACGCTCGCATTGCCTGGGACTGCTGGTGGAAGCAGGGAGCAGCCGAGGGGTCGTCTTCTTCTCTCGACTATGGACGCGAGTTTCATTCTTCCACATGCATGGGACTAAACGACGGGACTTTACAGATGAACTTACACGTTCCAATGTAGATCCGAGCCGCAGCTCAGCCCCTCGCACCAACAGTCCTCCTCAGGTATGTGCTTTTTCTTTCTTGTTTGTTTCTTGTTTTCGCTGCTTTTCAGTAACTGCAGAAGAAGAAGAATTTGGGGGAAAAAACGTAAGAGGAAAAATGAAAGCATCTGTGCGCAAGGCAGGCAGGAGGAGGAGGAGGAGGAGGGTACGGGGCTGCTGCTGCTGCTGCTGCTGCTTGAACTCAGAAAGTCTCCGTGAAAAGAAAAAAAAAAGTGGTGGCTTTTCTTGGCACGAGTGTGGCAAAAGACGAGCTTCTTTAAGGCTTCTTCCCAGCGGGGGGAAAAGAATCTAATACTGGGCTAATCTTGTTCTTGTGACCGATTCATCGCAAACAACGCGCACCTTTGAGGGACCTTCACGCGCTGTGCTTTTCTTTTTTTTTTTTTTTTTAGGTGGATGTCTAACGGTTGGGATGAAAACTTAGCAGCAAGCGTCAGCTGTTCCGGCGTTAGTTTATAAATAATATAAATAATAATAATAATAAAAAAACTGACTTTACCCACTGTCCTTGAAAACGTGTTTGCGAAGTGGGGAAGGAAAAGGCAGGTGAGCTTTAGAGTGTGGGAATCTCTGGAATGCGAGGTCGCCGAGGGGCGGAGAGCCAAACTGTGTGCTCCCATAAGACTGCCTTACCTTTTACCCTCACGTTCACTCGCTACGCTCCAACTACGCCATATTTAATGACCCTAATCTGCATTTAAATCAGGGGCGTTTCTTTTTAACCGTGACACTACGCTTCTATTGCACTGTGCAAATAAACCCTACCTTTTTTTTTTTTTTTTTTACGACAAGGTTGTTGTTGTGCCTGTGGCTGTCAATGAGTAATAATATGTGTAACAGTAATCCAGCATTCTTAATTAGGTGAATCCCGTGCAAGTCACTGTTTATTACCCTTTGACATAGGTGCAGATTTCAGGTACCACATTCAAAACATGTGCATCTGTTCCCCCAAATAATAATAATAATAAACACATATGTGCCTAAAGTAGGAGTTTTAATTTAGTCAAGACATTTCCACCATCAATTGATGCAGAAAAGGTGCAAATTGCATGCACCAGAATGCAGGAAATTCCCCTGCTGATGGGTGAATATTTCACATTGGGGAGGTTCATGGGGGAGCGTCCCCCCCTCCAGGAATTTTTGAGCATCAAACATTTAATTTCCAGCATTGTGGTGATTTTTTTTGTGTATAAATGTATGATTGAAAGCACAAATTTAAGGGGAAATGAGTCCTTTTTTATGTGTTCTAAATATTGAGGTGCATGTTTACCCTGCAGCTCTCCTCAAATGTACGCCGGTGCCCCCTGCTCAGTGTGTACTCCCTCAGTGTTCAAATGAAATCACACATCATGTCTCACCTTGGTACAAAAATATGTCAGATGTTTGTATTTCTTAGGGACCATGTGCACATATTAAACACAGGATTTAAATGGCACAATAGTAAACCTTTGCTTAGTCCTCAGCTCTTCTAATAATCCCTATGAAATGTCCCTAAAACCCCCAGAGTGCAGAATGTCATTCCAAGGGGAATAGGGTATTTGGTGTTTTAATTCCGCTGTGTCATGTCTTGCTACAACCAAAGCGGGGAAAACTAAAAGGCTGAAGAAGCAGTTATTAATTTTTGCTATGATGGACATTCACTAAAGGTCAAGCCTCATACTCCTACCGTCGCAGAAGAGATGCTGGGAGCGCTGCTTCAAGTCTCTCCTGTTACCATGCAAGTGGTAAAAGGTTATCTGCATGCATCAGTGATGTGACCACAGTGCAAGTTAATTTTATTTCAGCCAATTAACAGTGGAAGTGCATATGGCAAATAACATCATGCAAACTCTCTCTCACCCTCGCTCAGTCTCACACACATACATGCACGCACGCTCAACAGGAATCTCTTGGTTACGCCCCTCGTGATTCACATTACTGCACTAGACACACACCGCCACACAGCTGACAACCATTCAGGGTGCTTTACTGTGCAAGTGAAGAAACTGCAGGATTTCAGTTTGAAGAGTCCCTTGTTTTTTTTTTTTTTTTTTCTTGCAGTTTTCGCATCTTCTCTAAGCAGTGACACTGTGTTTGGCACAAGGAGAGAGTGGTTTTAGCTGGTCAGACGTGCAGCCGGCAAGGTGTCAGTTTCATTTGTGACGCTTCTTGTTTTGTTTTTTTTCTCGCTCTCGCTGTACAAAATTGTGGCACGTTTCTGAAACTTTCTGTGTTGATGATGCGGGTGCTAATGGACTAGTATTGTTTTCGTGTCAGACGCTCTTGTGCTGCAACAGACAAAAAACACAACCATCGCAAAACACTGTGTGTTGGTGTGATTGTTTGACCCAGTCTTCATGCTGAGTTCTTCTTAACAGATACTGACAACAGCTGAATAGTTTAGTGGCCTTTGGCGGGCCTCTACTCCTTGTATTTTTTCACCCTCTAATTCTGTCCCAACATCAAGGCTTAATCCCTAACCCCCATGTTGCACGTCAGATTTACTTTTTTCCACCATGATCAAAAAGTGTTCCCCCCCCAGTTTAAGAAAGGGAAAGTATTCCCAGTCTCTGCCTCATAGCTGGTATGCCTTGAAACAAAATGGTTATTTTCCTCGTATCTTTGGGCGTTTAAGTGAAGCGTTGAAGTATCAACTTCTTCCTTCGGCAAGTCACGAGAAGGTCAATGTCCTCTGTGTACTATTCAATCAGTCAAGTGCTCTTAAAAGTCAAGTCTTTACTGAATGGCAGCCAGCGTTTTGTCTCATTTACTCTGTTACCAACCCTTGGAATCTAGCTTTTGTGCTGTCAGTGCATTCTAAACATTTTGTGAATCTGTACAGACAAAGATGTGCTGTTCACAAAACAGAAGTTGGGATTGACTTTTAGTGTTTACATTTAAAACTCCATTTTTGAATAGTTTGCATAATGATGCAGATTTGTTCAAAGCGTGAGTGATGTTCAATAGCTGTGTTTTTTTTCCCTGTGAAGTTGCCTCAGCTACTGTGGTGTAGAGTCAGTGTGGGATGATAATAATAGTTCATAGTAGCAGTAGCAATCAACCAAAGAAAAGCTTTTATTCATCCTTTGGCATATAAATTCTTTTTTTTTTCATCAAATCCACCCGACATAACTTCTTTCCATCCCACATTTGCATGGTTCGGTCTAAAGAGAGTTAATCTTTCTTTCTCTTCTGCCTCCCTTCAGAACAAACCACATGAAATAAATGAGGGAATTTCCAGTGTGAAGTTGTTATATCCATTTTTTTTTTTTTAACAGCACTCCCTGTAAAAAAAAAAAAAATGTTCTTCATCACTAAAAATATGCGAAGATGCAGCACATCAGTAACTCCTGTGCTGGGCATTCCCTACAATCACATGTAAAATTCTGAAGTAAAATCAATTCCAACTAATAGAAAGCCATCATTCATGCATATGGTGCATTCAGCC